AGCAATGGCGCGGCTGGCGAATCCAGATGGCGAATGGGGCATAGCACACGCGTGCGAGAAGTTTGGTGCCATGCAGATCATCTCGCAGAATGCTAGCATGACACCTGAACAGATTGTCAAAGATGCAGCGCCAGGCCAAGTTTTCGGCTGGCAACTGTACGTGCAGAATGAACGCGCGAAGAGCGAAGCCATGCTCGATCGCATGAATAAGCTCGAATGCATCAAGTTCATTTGTTTGACGCTAGATGCGCCGGTACCTGGAAAGCGTGAGCTTGATGAGCGCAGTAAGAACATTGGGTCCAATCTCCCCGTCCGTGCCGCAGTCCAGGAGAACCAGAGCGTGAGCAAGACCAGCACTGATGCGAAGACACCAAGCCAAGAAAAGGAGAAGCCGAAGACTATGGGGATGGGACAATCGCTCTTTTGGGGTACTGCTGCTGATTTGACGTGGCGCACTACACTGCCTTGGCTTGCAAATTACACAGATAAGCCTATTGTATTAAAGGGTATTCAGACACATGAAGACGCATATCTAGCATCATTGCATGCGCCACATGTCAAAGCTATCATCCTTTCGAATCACGGTGGTAGAGCTCTGGACACCGCACCACCGGCTGTTCACACTCTGCTTGAGATCCGGAAGTACTGCCCTGAGGTATTCGACCGTATCGAAGTATGGGTAGATGGCGGTATCAAGCGTGGCACAGATGTTGTAAAAGCATTATGTCTTGGTGCGCGAGGTGTCGGTGTGGGAAGAGCGGCGCTGTTCGGTCTGGGTGCGGGTGGTAAAGAGGGTGTTGCGAGGGTACTTGAGAGTGAGTTCCTTTCTTTCACAGTCAAGGCTACACGGGATCATGATTGCTAACTCTGTAAAGTCCTCAAAGCAGAAACAGAAACGTGTATGCGTCTTCTAGGCGTCGAGAGGGTCGAGCAATTGGGTATGCAGTATATCAACACACGAGCGGTGGAAAGAGACATTTGGGATGGTCCTGCGCTTGAGCGGGTGAGCTTGAAGGCCAAGTTGTGAGCTGCAGTCAGGGTGTTGGAAGGCCACAGCGAAGACAGAGACAAATGACGCGAGTTGTCACGTATACATTAACTTCGAACCGTGAAGCAGCGGTGGGCGGCCTCACTGTTGCCAAGGTGTGCGCCTCAGGCCGCGTAACCATATCGTGGCCTTGCTTCGCTAGCAGGAACACGGGAAGCAAATACTACGTACCGGTAGTCCAATGGTATCATGATGAGGCTGCTCAAACACGGGGCCGACTACCATCGTGTCACATAAAAATACAGCGGCAATTGGGTGAGATTCTAAACTTTGTGCAAACCATGCAGGTTACATCGTGAGGTCCGATGAGCCCGTCGCTTCTATTACGATAAGGCAACGTACCAAGGCTTATTTACGGCTTCGTCGCAGCTTTGCGGCGTAGTAAGCCGATGGTTTCAATAAAACAACCCAGAGATTAGGATGTTCTAGACTTGGCTGGCATGCTGAGGTTTCTGAGGATACATGGGCCAAGGGTGTTCAGCGGCGGATACGCATGTGACATACAAGTAAACTTAATCACAAAGCGCGCAGGGCATATTTTGATCGCAACTGAGCGGAACCACAGAACCGAATTGTTTTTCATCATGGAAGTGCTTATCCGTTTCGAGTTTCGAGGAGATGTAGCCGTTGAGCCTGTGTATTGTTTACTCTTCTACACTTGCAGCGACAGCGTTTGTGGCTTCTCCGAGGCGTCTTCGCACGGACTGCCAGCATGGAGGAGCCTGTCAACACGCTGACAGCAGCCGAGGATGTCAACCTTCATCGTCGCAGACGCCTCATCGCCTGAAACGAAAACATCTGATAACAAAACGAATGAGCATCGTCATCCTAGGACACTACCCGACGACGCTACTGTGCGCAATCAACCAATGATAACTCAGCCCTACCCACCTCGTCGGTATTACCCTAACGCTCCTGCAGCATGCCACGTGTGTATTGACGTCGGCAGGCAAACCTGCTTCGTCGTAAAAGAATCAGGCCATGTCCCAACCAGTCTTGCCAAAACGTGCCCGCAGTGCAAAGCCGAGCCATCGTATACGCTCCGTGCCCAAGATAGCCACTCTTCTGTTGCTGCGCCATCCCTAGGTTCAAGGAAAGGCTCGGGCGCAAAGTGACGCGCTCCGTCTCTTTGAAACCAATCTTGGTCGGAAACACGCTAGAAGATTGGCCGTCTTCGTGATTGCTTCCAGGATATTACCATGCACGTCTGACGTCCTCCCTTTCACGCTTCCCCAATCACAGCACCCTGTCCCTTTCGTCCTCCATGCTGCTCGGTCGCGGCACCATTCAGAGGCCGCAAGCCCCAGCGGGCGCTGGCCCCGGGTGTGGCGGCATACTTCTTTGGTCATGCCATCAATGTAGGTGCGGTGCGCCATACAGTGGGTATGGTAGGTAGGTAGGTCATTGTCTCGTTGTTCGCGGCCACGGCCAAGACGCATCAAGTACCGCAAAGGCTCCGGAAAAGGAAGGCGCAACACGATATATACGACGAGATTACTCGTAGTCTGCCGGTAGCCATCCGACACGGCTTGACGGTTGCTATCTGCCAAGGGATAAATTGCTCAAAGCTGGATCCGGCTGCTGTTCGCTTCCTAAAGCTTCGCTGGGCCGATTACACAGCGATGCCTCGTGTTGATCCTGCCGCGCAGGCCCCTGGAGAGCAGAGTTGTGTAGATCCAATGCTCGAGCGAGAGCTGCTCTGTGTGCCTGGCGTGGCTGTGCGTGCCTCACATGCGCGGCTGTACCCAAGACGGGACCGTACGTGATATTGCGGTCTGCGGTGGAAGATTCGACAGAGCAGACCAGGGCGCGGGTCTACGCGGGGGCCCAAGTTGGGGAGATTATATAAAGACCCTCGATCTTGTCTTGGTGGGCGAGATGTTTTGAAGTACCAGCACTACATTGTTGCCTATTTGACCGCAGTCGCAACTGCGTCTATTCATATCATACCTCTTGATCGTTCCTTCCTCAATTCACCCACGATTATAAATCCAGCCTGTTGACCAGCGGCCACTACTCCTTCTACCCATACTCTTCACTGGTATACACGACAACTTCAAACACGTTCCTTCAGTTACAACGACCACGCTCTTGCGCCGCGCTTACAAACTCGCCCCCCACTTGCAACAACACGAGCGAATCAGACAAATTCCTAACATGAAGGACTGCCCAACTTGCAGAGGAAATGGCACAGTCAAATGCGACTACTGCAACGGCACCGGCTGCTCAAAATGCAAACAAGGCGCAAACAAATGCAGCGTATGCGAAGGCGCAGGCGCCATCCAAACCGACTGAAGGATCCGCATCTATCCGCGCTTTCTAACTGTTCGAAAGCATCCACGTCGAGCAGGCCTCGCAGAATCACTTTCGGTACGTCAAGTCATCTCTCAAATCAGATAACATGTTTTGCGAAGTCGAGCATTCCCTGTCTGCACTGCCACATCAATCTTACAAGACACTCGGACTCGCATTGACCCCCCTCTCTTCGGCGAGATGACATGATGGAGGCATTACAACGAACGACTTACCATCACCTCATCGCCCTCATCGCCATCCATCATCAAACCACCAAATCAAGATCGCCAACCATGAAACTGACAATCCCTAGATCGTCCTCATTTCCTTCCGTCGACTCTCTATTTCCTTTTTTTCCAATCACCCACTCAATCATTCAACCGCGGCCCGTATCAATGCGCAGGCCGCCAAAGCGCAGTGCGTACAGTAAGAAACAAAATGCTCATGGGTTGCCGTTCTCTCGGTGTAACTTGCGTGTGGAGAGGAATATGAGGCGCAGCGCTGCGCAGGCAAAAAGAGATGGTATGCTTGCTGTGCAGGGGGTCGCCAGACTGCGCACGTTCCTCTATCCGAACCATCCCGCTGTTCCTTCTGGAAGCTGAATCCTTGCATGTGCAACACATCGGGCGCATGTGCTTAGGTGCTACCTTTTATCACGTGTGAGAGCGTGCATGAGATTACCATGGCATGGTACCTAACATGTATTACCCCACAACCCCCCCAGATGGAGGCCAACTTCCGCGTCTTTTTCCACACGGTTTTGGAGAAATTTTTCATAGCGTTGGCGTTGTTGGTCTTTGTGCTTTCTTTTTCGTATGGTCTTTGGTTGGTATCTTCATTGGTTCGCAGAACAAGTTGGGAAACAGTTGGGCTTGGTGGGACTCGTGGGATTGATGGTATTAAGAGGGCTGGGGGTGCTGGCTGGCGGGTAATGGAATCAGGATTCGGGATTTAATCAACTTTATACGGGATAGTGGGAGTGTTTGAATCTATGGGAATAATCACATTGTACTTTTCTTCTGCATGAAAATGATTCTTGTGAAGTTTCTTGATTTACTGCGTCGGTGTCGCAATATTGAATCTCGTGTCTGAGATTCGTTGAACCATACCATGTCAACACCCATCAACTCTATTCCAGTCAACGCATTTACCGCCTTATACAGCCAACCTATCCGGCTCACCCCATATAAGTTCGCACCTTTTTTACATTGCGAAATCACCACAGCCAGGACCATCGTATTTTTCTTTCTTCTCAAAAAAAACCCCCCAACACAACAGACAGCACTGCAACAACATGAACTTTTGATGCATCTCATTGGACAATTATTTTTATGGTGCGTAGGGTAGGTAGGTTTATTCATCTAAGATAGGGAATAAAAACATGAATTAAAAATTTACCCCCAAAATTCCCTTTAATAGTAGTAGTAACCCATCTACTCTTTTCCTCCCCAACGAACATATGTAAAACAACAAACCCCCTATACTTGATCCCCTCACATCATATACACACTGCATTCTTGCTAAAAAACAAATCCTCCCACAAACCCACTTCACAGCGTACCAAACCCACCCTATCTACCAGCACCAACACCCCCACAACAATAAATAACAACCCTCTATCTAGCTACCCGTACACGCAAAAAGAAAAAAAAACGGATTCCGAATCCGGGAGTCGAACCCGGCCCGGCCCGGATATCAAGTTTTACTACAAACTTTGAAAGCGGGCAATCCTAGCCGATAGACCAATTCGGATTGTGGTATTTTGATGGAGATTTTGTGGAATGAAAAAAATATATTGGTTTAGAATCTAAGGTCTTGGGCGTGGTTATAGAATGGGAAGGAAAAGTGGTGGATGGGTGGTGGTTGTTGAGGGCAGAGTTTGCTGGGTAGGTGGGGGGAGGGGGCGGGTGGGATAAGCGAGGGTGGCGTGGTGGCGGGGCATGGGGTGGGAAGACTTTGTATGAGAGGGGAGGGGAGGCTAGTGTGGAGGTGGGCGTGGATGATTGCTTGGATCGTGTTATTGGTGTGAATTGAAGACTTAATGTTGGTACGTATATTCGGTTTGTGTTGGATGGAAGAGGGTCGATACGAGACTAGAATGGGGTTTTTAATGAAGACGATGGAATCATACAGCATGAGATCAAGCAATGACACCAATCACGAGAGCATCAGAGACTCGAGTGGTTTGAAAAACACATTTCATTTCAAAGGTACAACGAACCAAGAGGTTTCGAAGCAATGTAGTTACAAGAAGTGAAGAACGCTTCAATCCACAGATGTTCTAATCAACCGTCCACAAAATCCTGTGAATCACGCATCGAATCTATACTCCCATCAAGCACCGCATATCTTGAATATTCCAAAGAAGATCTAGACGCGGAAAGCGCGCGGGTGACGGCGAACCTTCTTCTCCGAAGCAGACCCAGCCTTCTCCTCGAGCCACGCAATAAAAGTGTCAAGAGTAAACTCCTTATCCGCAATACCAGCACTTCCAGTCGAAGCAGGCGCACTAGCAACAGGAGTCGCAGTCGCAGTAGGGGTCGGGACAGCGCTAGACACAGCATTGTTCTGGACAGCAGCGGAGGAAACAGCAGGCGCAGCGGCACTGGTAGCAGCAGGAGTGCTGGACGCAACAGGGGCTGCAGAAGGTTTGGTGCCGGATGAAGCTCCTGAGCCTGAGCTTGCGCCGCTGAAGAGGGCAGGGCCGGGGATCTTGTAGCCGGAGAGGTCGCCGGAGTAGATGTTGACTTTGATACCGGCGTCGGTGGGTGTGTAGAGCTTGTCCGCTGTAACACCAGCTGGGGTTTCGGTGCCAGAGCCTTCAACCTTCAGGTTGATGCACTTGGGGTAGTTTTGAGCACCGCCCTCGTCGCCGGCGGAGTGCAGAGCAATGATCTCGTGACGCAGGACATAGTCGCCAGCTTTGATGTTCTCGGGGATGGTGACGGACCATGTCAAGTTGTTGTTGATGAGTTTGGTGGTTGCCCATTCGCCGCCTGCGTAACCGGCCTCGTCGATCTTGAAGAATTCAAGCTCCTTAGATGTGACGGAGGTTGCGTCGCTGGCGGCAGCGAGGTAGTCGATGACAGGGCCGACGTGGGATTCAGGCCAGGTGTTCCATTGGATCTCGACGGAGCCGCCGGCCTTGACGGTGGCGACTTTTGCTCCGGCCGTGGCGTCCTTGTGGCAGGCGATCTTGGTCACGTCCGTGTACATGTCAGGTGAAACGAAGCCGTTGTCTAATGCTTCCGGGTTGCTCCACTCGATCACTTCCGGGGGAGGGGATTGGTATTGAAAGGAGGGGTCGTAGGCAGTGAATGCCGTGCCATCGACTTTGATGGCCGAGAGATGGCCGTGGGCCTTGACTGAGGAGACAAGAGCTCCGATAAGAGCTGCAACTTGAATTTTGGAAGACATTGTTGGGTCGTGTTGGTGAACTGTTTAGACTGGTAAGATGGAAGTTGCGTTCAAAGTGATGCTTCGAGATCAACGAAGTTCTGGTAGAAGGCGAATCGCGTCAAGCGAGTGTAAGAAAGCGAAAGTGAAAGTGAATGGACTGTCGAGAAGACTGAATGAATGTGTGGTGAGGAAACTTCTGTTGCTGAGCGCGAGGCTGGCTTTATACCAAACGGTAATTCGCATTGAAACGAGACCCATTGTTCGACATAGTACAGATGTCAAACACGCGGAGTTCCTGTGCTCGAAACAGTACCATTGCCGTGAAGCTGAAGCCTGGACATTGCCAAACCGGGGCCCTGGAATCCGGTTGTGGGAACAGTGTTGCTTGTTTCGCAGTGTGGCGGCTGATGCTGGCGGTAAAGCAAGAGGATTTGAGTCAGTACCTGATCGACACAGGCATGATTCTCGTCAGATGAAACTTCCACGCGAATGACAGGAGCAGAAGGCTGTCACACGCTCGCTGCTGTTGTGCTGGCATTGGCAACGGTCACCGACTTTTCTGAAGATTGATCATCGCCTTCGCCGTGCGTTCGACAAATCGGACATAGTCGCCATGTACATACATAAAAGTCCTGATACAACATATGTATGTGTGTCTTGGTGTAAAAGTCAGTCAGGGAGATGGTCATGGCAAGCGAGATTCGCGAAGGATCCAGACCTCAAAACGCTAGCATCAACCCGTCTAGACCACAGACACCACTACCCACGCGTCAGTACGTTCCTTCCAGTATCCCGACAACACCATTGAATGGAACTATCATAATCGCACTCTTCCTCACCATCATCTACCTGCAGCGAAACTACCGTGGCGCTGGTAAACAACGAGCCGCGGCATTGCATCACATCCTCCCGTCAATTCGTTTCCAACTTCGATCGTTTCAAAAGCTCCGATACTTGTGGGCCAACCATAGCGCGCGGCTCCACCACCAAACATGAGACTTCTAAATGCATGGATTGCAATTTCGATTTCGACAAGTGTTGCGCCATAGCGTGATCTCTGCTGCAGGTAGCCGCTGTCATCGCATTCTGCACTCCTCACGCTCAACATTTCCTTTGATCTTGCATACTTCATGGGCTTTTACGAGCGTGCCATTCCCTGTCATAGCCATGTCTGGTTTCCACACGCACATAAATACCTAGCCCTCTTACCTCGTGGCCCATGCTACCGCGTTTCAAACAAATCACACAACTATGGATCTCCTGCGTCTTCATTCATGCACCCATACATGAAGCACAGTCGAGCATTTAATCAAAGCAGGATAACCAGGCCCCAGTATCCAGGAAACAAGAAACGGGAAGAACGGCAGCTGGCGTGATCCAAGTCTCGCTTCCGGCAATTCTTTTTAATGTCATAGCTAACAATCGTGTCTTCTGTTATACATTGACTTCTTGTAACATGGCAGTCAGCAAGCCATGCGTTGGCTCGTTGGCGGTTGGTGCAAGCTTATAGTAACGATAGTATACTCTGGAGACTACGATAGGTGTAGAAGTGGTGCGGATGAGGCGATTGGTATGCTGGATGCTCACAGGGGTTGCTGGGGGCTTGGGGTGAGATGGAAACGGCTGTGGTATGGCTATGATAGTCTACTCATGTAGACAGATCAGAAGGTATGAGGGGTATACCGTGCTCTTCTTCGAAGATGCCTACATCACTACTTCACGAAGCTTCTGTGGTACTCAATGATGTAGTGTGGAGTTTCTCATGGTTATTGCGTGTTGTAGTATCAAATTGATATATACCCATGGTGTTTACAGGTGCTTGATCAGAACACTTCTGGTTCTGATACTGCAGCGTGGTGGTATTCAACGAGATTGAGCGCGCAATTTAGTAATGCACTTTACAGCCTACACAGCCCCAGAGTATCGTTATCCTCGAGCTTATTATATCACTACCTTGCAGAACTATAGAGAGGGATATTATCAAACATTTCTCATCACGAGTGAGGCTCCAGATTCTTAAAAAAAACGACCCTACACATCCCCCTCCCTCCCCCTCCACCTCGCACCAACAAGCCACCCCTCCACATCTCCCGGAACCCGAATCAAAACCTCCTCCTCCCCCTCCCCCACCGACCCCCCCTCAATCCTCTGTCTCAAATCCTCCAACCCGGGCCTCGCCCTCGGATCCCACACCAAACAATCCCTCACCAACCCCTTCAACGCCCCACTATACCCCGCCGCCACCCCTCCATCCAAAAACAACCCATCCTCAAGATCTTGCCTAGTATACACATCCCCATCATTAAGGAATATCCTATTCCCACCCTCCCCCTCCCATCTCGGCCGATAATCACCACCATGTGTTAGATTAAGGAGTAAACACCACATGACCTGTCCCACGGCCCAGATATCCGTTGCTGAGCTGAGTGGTGGCCATGTCGCCTCTCCATCGTCACCGGCATGTTCTAGATGTGCATAAAATGTCCGAAACAGTTCTGGTGCGTAACGCCCCTGCGCCCCGTTCCCAAGAGAGGAACTATCCTCTGCTGTGGAGGGCGCAGGCGTAGCGCCACAGAGGTAGTGTGATGGGTTGTCCGCATAGGTATCGTTTGAACCGGGTCTTGTGTCTTGTAGAGTGAAGATTGAGGTATCAAAGTCTGCGAGGAGGATGCGTGGCCAGTGATTTCGGGTTACGGGGATGATTTTCTCGTTGCGGGGGTTGGTGGGATGGTTGGTGTAGGGGGGGTGGATGGGGGTTCCGTCTTCGCTGGTTCTTGGGCGGGCGAAGATGTTGTCGAGACAGATGTCGAGGTGCATGATTGGTTTCCAGGGCTCGTTGTTGGGTAAGGCGTGGTTTTCCGCTCCGTTGTGGAGGATGAGTAGGGTGTCGATGAGGGATTTGAAGACGTACCAGAGGAAGGTTTCTGGGATGGTGGGGGGCGCTGGTATAGTTGGGTTCTTGAGGCGCTGGCGACGTTGGATCTGGGCGGCGGGTGAGCCGTGGGCGTGGTAGTATTGTACCAGGACGTCGGAGAGGCCGTGGTAGTCGCAATAGTCAAAGTATTGGCGGTATCGCCTTGATCTCATGTTTAGTCGGTAGCCGCGGAATGGGGTGATGCCTGCGTGAGACTGCGCGGCGAGACGTTGCTGGATGGCAATCTCTCGGGGGAGGTTGTCTCGCCAGTATGTGGGGTTGACCCAATTGTGTTGGTGGAGGGGTTTGGTGTCTTTGATGGCCATGCGGTCGATGATGATGTTATCAGCGTTGGTTTTCACCCAGAGGTAGACGTGACCGGCTCCTCCTTCACCCAGGGTTGCAGCGCCGTGCCAGGTACCGTCAGCAGGTTCTGAGG